AACCGGATATGCTAAGAATATGTGGAGGGGTGTATTGATGTATTACATCGACAGCGGACATTGCGTAATATATCGATCATCTGGGCGCGCGCGATAACCCCTGTCGTTGATGATGAGGAAGTTCAGCGTTTAGGTTCGGCATCGCAAGGGTTTCGTACTGTACGACTTAGTGGCGGGTTCAGGGTCGGGAAAGGCCCTAGAAAAAGTGCTGCAGCCGGCTGATTGAATATCTTTCTTACGCACAGCGAAGGTTTTGTGTGGGCACTTGCCTGCGGGGTTGATACGGTGGCAGGCAATTCGTGGCGTGTGAAGATTCAAATTGTTTCTGGTTGAGCTTAGTAGTCAGACTCACTGAGCGTCGCCGAGTATCTTAGGTTCAGCAGCACTGGATACGAAATAGGTCCGGAAGGGTACCATCGATTCAGTTCATTTCCATAGACTAGGATGATTTCCAGCACCCAGGCGTTCGCCAATGCGGCCTCTGCTGCCGATAAGATCAAAAACGTCCATTTAAAGGAGCTCTTGAATGACGAAGGTAGTCCCGGGCGAGTGCCAGGGGATGAGACTTATCGCAAACTTCAGAGCGCAACAAGTCTATGTTCGTGACCCCTCCCGAGTTGAAGGGAGTGACTCTGGATTATTCCAGAGAACGCCTTAATGAGGCCTCACTTAAGGCTCTATTTGACTTGGCCAAGGAGGCCCATCTCGATGAGAAGATCGAAGATATGTTCAACGGTAAGGCAGTGCGGGGTACACTTTTGTTGTTACTCTGAAGGGGTGTTGGTGTAGGTGTTAAGATTAACACTACTGAGAAGAGAGCTGTCCTTCATACTGCCTTGAGAGCTCCTCGTGGTGGTAAAGTCATCGTCGATGGCAAAAATGTCATCGAGGATGTTTGGGTAATAGGGAGGGTTCATGGTTGCGAATCCTGTGGTCTATGGTTCTATCCCTGGTCTCGTCAATTTTCTTCCCATTTTCAGAGAGTTTTGGACCAGATCAAAAGCTACTCCGATAAGATCCGTTCCGGCGCTTATCGCGGGGTGACCGGCAAGGCCCTCAAGAACGTCGTTTGCGTCGGCATTGGCGGGTCCTATCTCGGTAATTTCATCTGCGAGATGATTCTAATCTGAGTCTTCCACTATAGGTTTGCTCCGTATGAGATAGTCTCCCTCTCAGGTCCCGAGTTCGTCTTCGAGGCCCTCCGTACTGACCCTGCTGCTAAGAAGGCCGCTGAGGGCAGGACTACCAAGTTCCTTGCCAATGTCGACCCCATTGATGTGGAGAGGGCCCTTGAGGGCCTCAATGCTGAGGAGACTCTCCTTGTCGTCATCTCCAAGACCTTCACTACTGCCGAGACAATGCTCAACGCTAAGACCGTTCGCCAGTGGCTCTTCGATAATCTCGGCAAGTCTCCTGAGGTCGTCAGCAAGCACGTGTGTGCATGCTCTACTGCTCTGAAGTTGACCAAGGAGTTCGGCATTGATGACGAGAATGTCTTTGCCTTCTGGGACTGGGTCGGAGGTCGCTACTCTGTCAGCTCTGCTGTTGGCTGTCTTCCACTTGCCCTCCAGTACGGCTTTGACCAAGTGAACCAATTCCTCGAGGGTAATGTTGACTTGAATTTTCAGTTATTTTTATGTCACATTTTTCAGGTGCCCATCTGATGGATGAGCATTTCCGCAATACTAAGGACCTCACTCAGAACATCCCGGCCCTTATGGGCCTCATCGCTGTCTGGAACAGCACTTTCCTCGGCGCGACCTCAACTGCCATTCTCCCCTACTGCCAGGCTTTGGTGAGGTTCGTCGCTCATATTCAGCAACTTGATATGGAAAGTAACGGCAAGAGAGTTACTCTCACTGGCCACACTGTAGACTACAACACTGGTAATGTGAAACCATGACCGCATTTCTCCTCATTGTCGTCTTCGTTTTGATAGGCATGGTTCACTTTGGTGAGCCCGGCACTAACGGTCAACACTCCTTCTACCAAGAGCTTCATCAGGGCACTACTATTGTGCCCAGTGAGTTCATCGCATTCGCTAAGTCGCAGAATCCGATTAAACTTGCCGGGGAGCCCGTCAGCAACCATGATGAACTCATGTCCAACTTCTTCGCCCAGCCTGATGCTCTGGCTTTCGGTAAGGGCTTCGATCAACTTGAAAAGGAAGGCGTAGGTTGTACAAGGAAATTATATGCGTGGCATTGACTACCTTAGGTCCCCGCCGAATTGATGGACCATAAGTTCTTCCCGGGAAACAGGCCCTCGTTACAGCTCCTTTTCCCCGGTACCTGCAATGCTACCTCGGTGGGAGCTCTCCTTGCTGCATATGAGCATCGTACTATGGTCCAGGCCGCCATCTGGGGCACCAACTGCTTTGATCAGTGGGGGGTTGAATTGGTGAGATGCCCTATTGAATTGGTACATATTCATTGTGATTGATATCAGGGTAAGGTCTTGGCCAAATCTGTTAGAGGGCACTTCGCCAACCCTTCTGCTGGGGTTTCCGAGTTCTGTGGCTCGACCCAGAGGCTCCTCAAACAGTATCATCAGTAGGTCGTTATAGTGGAGGTTCTTGGCTAGGTTATTATCCATTTCAGGATGAAGTAAGGGAGAAGATCAGAATTGCCTTGCTTGTTCTGTACGTTATCATCAATCTAGATCGCCGTGTATCACGCGATTGTTTCACCGTCCTCCCGAAGCTCTCTCCTTACCAATAGGTGCCCCCAGCATTACGATAACTATTGAACAGAGGTCTGCTTAGGTCGTCTTGTGTTATGGTGAATTTTAAGACATGAAGTTGAGGGTAGACTGTGGCTACAGAATTTCCAGCTCGGAAGCGTATGGTCATCTGCCGTCAACAATATATTATGGTGGTTGCCGTCTTCGTTGAATTGAAGATGTTATTCAATTGATAATAACTCGGATACAGGATTTCTCTGCAGTGCCCCGGTATGTTTGTTGTTGGGCTTGCTCAGTATGACTTGATGGAGCGTTTCAGAATTGCTCGTGGCTGTTGTTGTTACAGTGCGAGGAAAGTTCATCATTGATTCAGTTCAGCCATTGTGGAAGTGATTGATTCGTCCATTGGCCTGAGTGCCGACGAGGGGATATGCGGGTTTTCGTCAATGATCGGTGAGTCGCGTAGCATCCATGATTTTCGTTATGGAGAATACTCCTGAATCTGGAGGCTGGACTGTCGTTACGTTGGGGGGCGAACGCGATGGTGTCGTGGTGTATTTGGAGAGTGGTCAAGCGACGACGTCGTCGTCATGCAGGGTTATTGTCAGGTTCTGTGTTGATCTGAGTGATGCAGCGATAGGTAGGGGTGCTTTCAGTGAGGTCCGCCGAGGACTAGACGTTCTTACGGGCGAAGCGGTGGCAATTAAAACCTACATGGTAATCGGCGTTAGAACCAGCAGTACACGTGCAAGTAGAACGATGCGGATATGGTGATCAGTAGTATCGTGGATGAATCAATTGTCTTCAATTCGTATATTGGTCTTCGAGGGTTCATAGCATGAATAATGTGTTATGTAGGCAACATGTGAGAAGGCTCTGGATTATTTTACTCGTGAAGTCCGGGTGCTTGATATGCTCAAGGTAATATTAGGGGGGAAATGAACTCAGTCGAGGAACTCTAAGGTTGCTTTGTACGCAGCCGTGAATGGTTCTAGTAAAGAACGCCGCACTACGAGTGGTTGAAGGCCGAATGGCTCGTTGTTAGCAAAGGTTGAAAGTTGGAGGTGTAGAAAGTCACTACCCGGATTTGAACCGAGGTTGTCACGGCCACAACGTGACGTCCTAACCACTAGACGATAGCGACTCTGAAATTTCTTTAGTTCGTCGGGATATACTTCACCAATTGGATTGAAGTTGAGGGTTCATGTTGAGACTATTGATTTCCTCGACAATATCGGCATCGGATATACTCGTATCGACTCCTTGCCTACATTCAGTTTCATTATGGTAGAGGCTCTTAAGCATAGTTTGATGATTTTGGGAATGAACATCATATTGAGATGATGCCAAACTGCTATTACTATTCTTCCTCAGAGAGGTCCCCAAGAAAGTCATATTTCTATTCCTGAATGGATTGATGATACTCGAGAAGGCGGCATGTTTATCCGACTGCTCTCTTGTACAACAACAGAGTAGTCATGGTTGCCTTACCAACAGCGATACTTGACTTTTCAGAGCTGGAACGCCGGGGCCTGACAGTCACGGCAACCTGATGATAGTCATGGAGATGGGCATTGAGACTCTCGACACTTACGTCCGCACCAAGTAGTAGTAGTAGTAGTAGTAGTAGTAGTAGTAGTAGTAGTAGTAGTGAAGAAAGGGAGTGCATCCTGAATTGGGTCGTCCATATCAGGCGAGCCGAGTCGCCTGGTAACTACCACTTCGACACTGACGAGTTGGGAGAGATCGTAGTCAGACTCATCGACATTGTAGAAGCCCTTCACTCTATTGATATGGTGCTCACGAGCGATGATGCTTATGACTCTTTCTGCTCACTCAGTTGTCTCTACTAGGTGCATCTCGATCTCAAGGCTGACAATATAATGCGAATGCGTGACGGGCAGTGGAAACTGATAGACCTAGGTGGTCTCATGCTGGAGGGCTCAGTAGTATCGCCAGCCAATGGTGGATCGATAACATTCACTCCAGTGTGGGTCCAAAGGCTTCTTCATGAATCGTCATCTAAGTGTAAGGTACGCCTCTCCCGAACTTGGCAGGCCGATGGCCGCATATTTGTCTGGTGTAAATGATGCTGATGATGAGCGACAAGTCATCAGAGTCTCCAAGTCTATGGATGTGTGGGCGTTGGGAATTTTGATTTCCAAGATCGTTCTCGGTAAGAACATATCTTCGTGTAATTTGCATGTTTGATAAATGTAGTGTTAGGATTAGATCACTTAATTATTTTTATTTATAGTGATCGATACAGTAATCATAGAGCAACACTAAGCTAGTAAAGAAAGAAGACAAGTATCACAAGAATGTGAAAATTAGGACAGACACTTGTATTTTACATTTCCTCACAAAAGGCACTCGCATTCTTTTCTATGCTACTAGAGTGCAGAGGGTTTCAAAGGCTAGTACAGTACGCGCAATCTAGATAGTGCTAAATTGTCCAGCGCGAGAATTTCGATTAGTTTTGGCTTTAAAATTCGTTCATACATTCCTCTATATGTTATAATGAAAATCAGCGAGAAAATTCGAGAAAAAAAATATAATTTTCCCAATTTTTTGCCCAATTTCTCGTGATATCATCCAATTTTTCGTTCATAGTATTACCCTGTTCGGCCTCGCTGGTAGTTCGTCGTACGTGTGTAAGATCTGTGTGGGAATATACCAGTGCTGCAAAAAATGTTCGCTTTCCTCAGCTGAGCTCAATACTTTCCTCACTTAT